AGGAGCTGCACAGGAAAAAGCGCGCGTGCTCATGCGCATTTTGGCGTAGAGGAGCGTATCGGGTTGTCCAAGTGCTGCATGGCTGCGTCATAGCTAAGACCACTGCTTTCAGGGTCTGCAGTCAGCAAAGAGCAGACACGGCGACCACGGAAAAGGGCTGCTGGTGTGTGTTACTGCGAGTGGGCACAGGCCACCAGGCTGGCGTCAAGCAAGCACGCTCCTCTCCCGAGGCAGACACGTGCCACCTCCGCATCATCTCCCATGCTCTGCACGGTGCCACACGTGCATGGCGGCCAGGCAGGCGCAGGGTCCGGGGAGAACCTGCACACCGGGCCTTGGCCCTTGGCCCTGGGTGTGGGCGCCTGTGGGCTGCTGGCTGGGAGGTGCAGGAGCCGGCCCGGGCCGCCCAGGGGGATTGAAGGCTTCGCTCTAAACACAGACCAGCGCCCCTGGTCCCGGTGTCGCAGCCTCCTACCGCTCACAGTGGGGGCTTATAGGGGACCTCTGGGCTGAAGTCAGGGTCACTTTTTTTACATTTTAAAATGTGAATCAGAGGTTGCTCCTGCCCCAGCTCTCCAATCATCTGCTGTCACATAAGGGGAACCACAAAGTCTGGCCCGCGTCCTGCGTCCACTCACTCTCTGCGATCTTCAAATGCACCCGGTCATGTGTTCCAGGGTCTTGCGCCCACTCTTCCTGCTGCCTGGACTCTTCTCCCAGAGTAGTCGTTTGCATGAAACCATTTCTATGGAAAGGCTGAGCTCCAAATATGCCTTTGATTAAAAAATGTAATAAACTCTATGACCAGGAGTCATTCTTCTGGACAGCCATTTGTGCTACATGCTCAGGACATTAAGCACACATTCGTGGAGGGAAGCAGCAGCTGAGGGAGATCCACGGGGGACAACGTGAAACCCTCATGATCAGGGCTATGCATGAAACAAGCCAGATATTTTTAAAATACAACAAGCACAATGTACATGAATCTTCACATTTTAAAAATCATATTTGTGACAATATTTCCAAGTGACAGTTATAAAATTCAGCAAATGGTACTGGGAAAACTGGATATCCACATGCAAAAGAATGAAGTAGGGTCCTTCCCTAACACCACATACAAAAATAAACTCAACGTGGATCAAAGACCGAAATGTAAGACATAAACTAATAAAACTCTTAGAAGAAAATATAGGGGACACACACACAATCATGAATTTGGCAGTGACTTCTTGGACATGACACCAAGTGCACAAGCGACAAAAGAGAAAACAGATTATATCAGATTTGTTCAAAATGTAAAACTCTTGTACACCAAAGGGCATTATCAACAAAGTGAAAAGACAATCCACAGAATGGAAGTAAATATATTTTTAGAAGTCATATAGCTAACAAAGGGTTAATATCAGAATATACAAATTCCTGCAACTCAACAGCAAAAAGACAAACAGCCCCAAAGGACTTGAATAGATAATTCTCTAAAGAAGATACACAAATGGCCAAGAAGCACATGAAAGAGGAGCTCGCCTCCATCAGTCATCAGGGCAATGCAAACCAAAACCACGGTGAGCAACCCCGGGACCATCGAAACAGAACACAAGCGCGGTGAGGAGGGGGGGAGTTTGTGTAGAGAAGTTCACCAGTTTGCAGAAGTTGATCAGTTTGGCAGTGTCTATAGGTGACACACGAGAGCACCATGTGATACAGCAATTCCCCATTTAGGTACGCACCCAGACACTTGAAGCGCGGCCCCAGAGATCTGCACACCAACGTTCACTGCAGCGTTGCTCATGGCGGCCAAAAGAGGGACGCAACCTCAGTGTCCGTGAACTGACAGATAGAAACACACCGCAGCTCCCAGGCACGACAGAATACTGTTCGGCCATAAAAGGGACGAAGTTCTGACACATGCTATGACATGAGTGAACCTTGAAGACATTATATATACTAAGTGACATAAGCCGGACTGAGAAGGACACATATTTTATGATTCCACTTACATGAGGTAGGGAGCACAGTCAAATTCAGAGAGACAGAAGTAGAACAGAGGATACCAGGGCTGCAAGGCGGGCAGCTGGAGAACGGGAGTTATTGTTTAATGGGTACAGAGTTTCCGTTTGGTATGATACAAAGTTCTAGAAATAGATAGTGGTGATGATTACATAATACTGTGAATGTTTTTAATGCCACTGATTTCTACACTTAAAAATGGTTAAATTTAATATTTAGCATTTATGTTTATGTGGTAAATTTTACCACAAGTTTTAAAAACTTGGAAAACTACAAGTAACAAAAATCAGCAAGAGTCATTTTGTAACACATACTGCCACATTCAAAGACCACGTTGGTCCACATCTACATCTGGAGCCACGTGGATGTGGGCTCGCCCATAGAGCAGGGCAACAGCCGGGGGGCCTTCGAGATGAGTCCTGTGAAGATAGAGGTGTACGAGCGGTCGTTTGCCCTCCTACCTGAAGCTGGATTTAGAAAGTGTCAGGTTTATTCACTCCACCTTCTGAGCTTGCACGCCCCCTGCAGGACGCTGCATGCTACACTGCGTCCTACACTGTACCAGGGTCTGCATCAGACCCTGGCTGGTCAGAGAAGTCCTTCCCAAGTAGTCTACGCACATACATCATTAAAAAAACCGGGGCAAACTTCACCTTCAGAACTTATTAGGAAACTGGTTAAGTCTACGAAAGTATGTATCAGTCATTTCCATGCACACTGACGTCATGGCACTATAGCTCAGCCCGGCAGCATCAGTGTGATGCACATTTACAACTTGTATTGAAACCCTTCCTTGCCCATGTTCTGACTTCCAGCCTTGGGCTGATTTTCACTTGTGACACTTGTTTGGTACTGTAATTTAAAATCCTCTGGAATAAGTGAAAGACACAGGGCTATATAAATATCTGGGGTGAGCAGAACTCCTTACAATACTGGGCTCCTTCCAAGTCCTACCATGAGCAGGTAGGAGAAGAGCCACCTAGAAGGGCCCGTTCCCCCAGACCTCGCAGGAACCAATTCAGCTGGTAACACGAGGCCCACCCAGGTCACCTGGCAGGGGCAAGGGTGAGGGGAGTAAAGTCCGCTGTAGGCCTGGCAGGTTTCACACCTTCTCACAGCAAACTGACAGCACGGCGGGGAGACGAGTTCCTTACCTTAAATATAAGAGTAATTCTTCACAAAATAAAACTTAAAAATGTATGTACCATTTTGCTGCTTTTGTTTCTGATTTTAAAATTCACCACAGGCCTCAAACACTAGCAAGTACTTGCTTTTATGCATACTTTTCAAATTGCATTTCTTTGGATCTCTAACTGCAAAAAAGTTTAAGGAACTCAGGTTTTCTCCTTGACCTTCACACAAAGAGCAAAGGCCAGCCACTCCTTAAAGCTGACCTTATGCACTTTTCCTGTAATATACATTCGTCACATGTATTTGTCATTTTCCTTCCTGAAGGAGTTTTCCTAAGAACTCTTGGTAACCTTAGCACTTCAAAATTAGGAGAGAAAACTCATCCTCCTTACTTACGAATCAGCTGAACTGAGAAACGTTCACAGGTTTGGCGCCGCCACTTCTCTGTGATGCTGATCCCACTCCAGCAGGAGAAAGACCCTGCATGTCTAGAGGAAGCACGAACTAATTACATTTGTTTAGCTCCCATTACCCTATCAAACAATCAAAAAGGAAATGATACCATGCAAGCAAAACTACAAAAACACAACATCCTCGATTTTATTCGCCAGTCATCAGGCCCTACAGAAACATGCAGCACAGATGGACCAATTTCTGCCTCCATGAATTTTAAATTGCTTTTTACAACATTTCCCTGGCCCTGATGAGCCAGTGTTTCACAATATGCTGGCTTGTGAAATTCAAGCAACTGTGCCTTCCCCTAAGCTCCTTCATTCAGCCTTGGCCATAAATCGCACACTGCCTATAAAAGTCTACTGAAAAGAAAAATGAAGTTATTTTAAAATGCCGCGCAGAAGCCACTTGTGGACATTTCCAAGGCCGTCACTTCAGGGACACCTGCACGTGCCTCTGCTCATATGGGACACCGGAGCCCCTGGCCCAGCATCACGCCGAAGGAAGCATCACCGGAAGAAAGGAGATTGTGTTCCCTGACGCGACTTTCAGGGGCGACTCAAACAGCTTCCACTCGCACAGCTGGCAGCGTCCCTGGGAAGTGAAGGGGGTCCCCCCTTGTCCTCGGCCAGTGGCCTAGCTGCAGGTGAGAAGGAAATCTGTGGTGAAGGGACCCTGTACACACCGTGCACATCATTTAAAGAACTTCAACCAACTGCGTATGCCCCAATCCCTGAGGCCCTTTTCCTGGCATTTGTTAAATGAGAAAGTGGACTTCATTCTGCATTTACAAAGGGCCCAGATCAACGTAAGGCGAGTTTTCCTACCAAGCATTACCATGTACAGCTTCCTAGTATCAAGTGTGTGGTATTTCAGAAAACAATAGTTGGAGCACATCAATGACTCTTCCGACTCTCTTTATTCAAAGATACAAGAGGCACAAAAATATAGAACTAAAATGTCCAATGGCATCTGAACTAGCAGGTTCACCAAAAGGTTTAAAGGTAAACTCGCATTAGGGAGACTGCTTATAATTACTAGAGAGAGAATGAACTGTTTTTAAAAGAAATGTGTCTCAGGAAAATGCTGACCAACGGGGTAGTGGTTACATTTAATCTCCTGCTGGCGGGGAACCCGCAGGTCTCAGGACGTCTCCTGGGCAGCAGGAGCCACTCTAAGAGGGCAGGCACAGCTGGTACGGCCATTGCGGCAGGGTGGGCTCTTTCTCAGGCTCCCTTGGCAAGATCAACCAACCGCCCACATGTGCCTTCACTTCCAGGGAAGTGATGTGGATACATATTAATTCACATCCATCTCTAGTTGAGAACATCTGGCCATCTGTGACACATGACACACTGTGATGGTTTCAGAACACAGAGCGGGGACCTGGGGAAGGGGACGGGACATGCCTACACATCACACTCCAGAGCGCGAAGGTCTTCCAGGAGCTCCCGGGCCACGGCCTGCAGGTGGGGGTTGCGGCTCTTGGACATGGCCAGGATGCGCTGCAGGGGCAGGGAGCTCCGGAACTCGGAGGCTGACTTGGAGAACACTTCCGGTTCCAGAACCACCGACTGGACAAGTCGCAAAACATGAAGACACACCTCTGCATCTGGATCTGGGGGGAAACAGGTTAACACTCTGGTTAGAATAAAACTCTACCAGGAATCTCGGGGTAGAATCTACCCACAAGGGTTCTTGGATTTTCTGAATGACAGATTTGACAGTTTTGAAAACTACAAGCTGACCCAGAAATGCCATTTCTTAATGTAAAAGTTTAGCTCATAAGAGCAGCATGACAAAACTCATTGTCATCTATTTAATAACATCTTGTCTTCAAATGACTCACGATCACATAACTGCAAAATGCTGAACTAAAAATGCAGCAGCTCTCACGCGTGGGCCGTAACTGCCCCCGGGGCCGACTGCCTCCCAGGAGCTCCTTCACGTCCACTCGGACCGCAGCAAGCCCCTCAGAGACCGCGGCGTCTGCTCAGGACCCCGCGTTCCGGAGGCACGGGCCACAGCCTTCACGCCGCATTCCCTTTTTTCCATGTGAGTTACAGAACCTGGTCGCCCAGCAGATATTGTGGCAGCCACTGAAAACAGCTGGACTGAAACAACAGTCTGACACAAAACTCTACCCTGTAACCAGGTGGACCCCGCTCTCCTCAGCATTTCTCCCTATGGGGAGCCTGTAACATGCCATTAATTTACTTTTTGATTGGATATTGTCACTGGAACCAGGCTCAAAATCAGGACCTTGTTCTTAGCACTGGGCTTACAAAACCTTTTAAAGAAATCAGAGTGGACAGGACAAACTTTCAGCAGGAACTGCCACAACACCAAGGTTCACCCAGAGTCCTCCTCACTGAGTCAGAGCCCCGGGGCACTGTGAGGGCTGCACTGCCAGGGACGTGGAGGAGAAAACCCTGCTGTGCCGGGCGGGCAGGGGCTGGGGCGTCCTAGGCCCAGACATGCGAGTCCTCCTACATTGGGGGAGGGGAAGGACACTAGGTCTAGAACAGGACCTGCCAAAGGCACCTGGCAGAGGGTGGCTGCCACACAGAGGGGAGGATCGCTAGGAAGGCCCCCCCCGCCCCCGCATCCCCCATCCCCGCAGGTGGACAGGAGCTGAACCACAGCAACAGAGATCTCCCCTCCATCCGCTGCCAGGAGCCCAGCAGACACTGAGTGGCCAGGAGAGCCGTCTGCAGCTGGGGGAGGAGCAAAGGGTGGAAGGGTGAGGCCCAAAGGGGAGGCCACCAGCTGGGGGGCAGCAGGCACTGAGGAAGTCACGCTGGCAACTCAGCGCCCCGCCCTCCCAGTGCTCGGAAAGGTTAGAGGGATGTGCGACCCTCAACTTTATTTTTCTTCATCAAATTTGTTTTATCTATTTTAATTCCTTTGTTTTTTCATATAAATTCTAGTGTAACTGTCTCCCACTGTTAAAAATTTTGCTAGGATCTGGACTGAAATTGTAGTAAACCAGGATATTAATTTGAAAGAGAACTAATACCTTTACTATGCTAAGTTTTCCTTTCTTTTCTCTTTTTTGGCCTATATGTATATTGCTTGGAATGAGCAGTTTTCACTCAACATTATGCTTTGGAGAGTCATCTGAATTGATAACAGAAACTACAGTTCATCCACTTCCCATCCATTCTGTTACATGAATTGATTACAATTTATTTGTCCATTCTTCTATTAATGAATATTCTGGGGGTTTTCTTGATTTATGCTATTAAAAAATTATAAACAATGCTTCCATAACACATTTTAAGTACCTCCAGTGAGATTTTTTCCTTTTTGGGGGAGTGGGGCTTCAAATCCCTATTCTACATGTTCTTACTGAAACCTTTAAAAATTATAAAATAAGGCAAACACAGAATGAGAGAAAATAATGTAACTAACCTGTATGTTCTCATTACTCAGCTTAGTCATGTCTTAGTGTTTTTTTCCGACCCATCCTCCCCCACCCTCCCCTTAGGCAACCATCAGCTTGTTCTTTGTATCTATGGGTCTGTTTCTATTTTGTTTTGTATATTCATTTGTCTTGTTTTTTTTCAGATTCCATATAGAAGTGAAATCATATGGTGTTTGTCTTTCTCTGACTTAATTCACTCAGCACAATGCCCTCTAGGTGCATCCATGTTGTCATAAATGGTAAGGTTTCATTCTTTTATGACTAATATTCCATATATATCACATCTTCTTTATCCATTTATCTATTGATGGGTACTTAGGTTACTTTCATATCATGGCTATTGTAAATAATGCTGCAATAAACATAGCGGTGCATGTATCTTTTTGAATTAGTGTTTTTGTTTTCTTCTGATAACTACTCAGAGGTGGAATTGCTGGGTTATATGGCAGGTGTTTTCCATAGTGGCTGCACCAGTTTACATTCCCACCAATAATGCCTTTTCTCCACGTCCAACACTTGTTTGTTCATTTTCCAATGACAGCCGTTCTGACAGGTGTGAGGTGATATTTCATTGTGGTTTTGATTTGCATTTCCCTAAGGGTTAGTGATGATGAGCATCTTTTTATATGTTTATTGGCCATCTGTATGTCCTCTCTGGAGAAATGTCCTCTGCCCATTTTTTAATTGAAAAAGATTTTTTGATGTTAAGTTGTTTGAGTTCCTATTACATTTTGGATGTTAAGCCCTTATTGGATGTATCACTGGTGGATATCTTTTCCCATCAAACAGATATTCTTTTCATTTTGTTGATGGTTTCTTTTGCTGTGCAAAAACTTTTTAGTTCAATGTAGTCACTTTTTAAAAATTTTTTTTCTTTTGTTGCCCTTGCCCAAGGAGATGTATCCAACCAAAAAATATTACTAACACTGATGTCAAAGAGTTTACTTCCTATAGTTTCTTCAAGGACTTTTATGGTTTCAGGTTTTATATTTAAGTTTTTAATCTATTTTGAGTTTATTTTTGTATATGATGTAAGAAAGTGGTCCTTTCTTTTTCTTCTTTTTTGCATGTATCTGCACCCTTGGTACAAGGAAAGGTTCGAGGAATTTGAAGCCAGTGGGGCACAGGAAGGAGGTAACCACTGCAACGACAAAACCCAAACCCAGGTCAACACCCCAGTGTACTAGTAAGAGGTGCAGCCTTTCCCAGGAGTAAACACTATTACCTCATTCTCTCCTGCAGAGGCTGGTACGCCACGGCCCAAAGGCCAAATGCAGCCCATGACCTACTTTTGTATGGCCTGTGAGCTCAGAGTCATAGTTACACTTTCAAGGGTCACTTAAAAAGAAAAACAAACAAACAGAAGACTAATGTGCAACAGAAACCACATATGGCCCTCAAAGGTCAAAATATTTACTACCTGGCTTATTAGAGGAAAAGTTTGCTAGATTCCACCCTCCACCCCCGCTCCCCTCCATACACACACACTACTGCCCAACACGCAATGTCCAACATTGGATCAAAAATTACAATAACCAAGTCAGGGAAATGAAAAGCCCACTGTGATAAAGTAATCAACCAAAACAAATAAAAACAAACCCCTGAATCCAGAATATAAAGAGATCTCTGGAAATTCAATAATTACAAAACAACCCAATAAAAATACAGGTGCGGGAACAAATACAAGAACAATCAGAAAAAGAATATGAAATAAATGATTAATAAATAGGAAAATACTTTAGAGCAAGAACTATTACCAGAAGTGAGAGACTCTGCATAATTATAAAGAGGTCAATGTACCAATATGGCAACAGTGCTAGCTACTCGTGTACCTAACAACAGAGCTTCAAAAGGCACAGAGCACAGTATGATAGAACTCCAAGGGCACATAAACCATGTCACAGTTAGAGTTGGAAACTTTTAACACTCTTATTTCCATTATTAATTTTAAAAAAGGAAGAAAAGAAAATCCAGTAAGGATACAGAATCATCCCTGAATAATACATGCTTAACCAACTTGACCTAACTGACATTTAAAAGAATTCAAAGGACATTCTGTGATTATAAGGGATTAAATTAGATATTAAAAAATGCATAACAGACAACAAAATAACAGTAAAACATGTGAGAATCTCCACATAACACCCTTCTAAACAATCTCTGGATCAAAAGGAAGTCCTAAAGGAAAGTAGGAGATACTGTGAATAAAATGAAAATGAAAACACATTATAAAAATTTATTGATGCAGTTATATCAGTGCTTATAAGCGGAAATTATAACATTACATGCTCATATTAGTAAAAAAAACAAAGGTCTCAAATTAGTTGTCATAGCATTCATTTCTTATTTTAAAAATTAAAAACTGCCCTACCTGGTGTGGCTCAGTGGACTGGGTTCTGGCCTGTGAAACAAAAGGTAGCCGGTTTGATTCCTAGTCAGGGCACATGCCTGGGTTATGGGCCGAATCCCCAGTTGAGGGTATGCGAGAGGCAACCAACCCATGTATCTCTCACACAATGATGTTTCTCTCCCCCCCCTTTCTCTCTCCCTTCCCCTCTTTCTAAAAATAAATAAATAAAATCCTTTAAAAAAATTAAAAAAATTAAAAACAACTGCTCTTCAAAAGATACAGTTAGGAAATGAAGAGACAAGCCACTAGACTGGAAGAAAATATCTGCAAAACGCTTATGTGATAAAACAAACAAAAAACAAAACCCTGAATCTAGAATATAAAGAGATCTCTGGAAATTCAGTAATTACAAAACAACTCAATAAAAATAGGCAAAATATTTGATGAGCACAGGAGTTCTGACCTGTTTCCAACCTGGGCTGGTTCACCCCTCCTTAGGCAACCTGGTGGTCCCCCCAAAACATAAATAAGACACCTTTTCATGCGCTTACTTGACATTTGTATATATTCTTTGATTAGGTGTCTTTTCAAATATTTTATTTACAGCATCTATGCTTGTATAATTGCCAAAACCTAAACATCACCCAAGGTCCTTCAACTGATGAATGGACAGAGACTATGTGGTACGTTGCAGAAGAGTAATCGGCAATAAAAGCAATTAACTGATATACACAATAGCATGATGACTCTCAAATGTATTATGTTAAGGAAAAATGCCAGACTTTAAAATCCCCATATTTCATGATTCTGTTTCTATTCCATTCTGGAAATGCTTAAAACT